GACCATCACCCTATCATGCATTATCAAGGGCAATGGAGACCAAGGAAAGTGGCACATTTCATCACTTTTAAGTATGAAATGTCCCATTTTCCTTGTGTTCAAACTAACGTCCAATTTGTACACATGCAATGCAACATAAAAGAATGCTTATCTTGCCTCTTTTACTAGCCAATTTTGTTTATCATTTTAATTACCAAATCATTCAGTAATCCATTAAGTCCATTGGTGAGTGTCCTCTAATGGAAAGATGGCTCAAACCACATGTTGCTTTCGGCATGAAAGAGCCATTACACTGTTGGTAATGAACCCTCCAGAGGATTAAACCATTAGGTGTAGCACCTCCATTTCACACTTAGGCAAACAAGTGGTTTGACACCACTTTCAAAAAAAAAACAGAAAGTGAAGAAATAAGGGATATTGTAGAGATTATAAGTGCTAAAATGAAGTAGAAAAGGCACTAAAACGTGCTATCAACTCACACCAATGATGGCTAAAGCTTTAAAACACTAAGCTAATGAAAGGGGTCACACTACAACTATGCAAAACAAGACTCAGATGGACTAGCCAGCCCAAAACTGAGCTAAAACAAGTTATTGCAAAGGATAAAACATGCTAGACTTGAGCTAAGTTAAGCTAGAAAAACATGTTGACATATGAAGCTAACTAAGCATGCAAACATGACAAAAGGAGGGGAGGCTAATCCCTCCAAATTTGGACTTCAAAATAAGTTTTTTGCCACTAGAAAACCTCTGAAATTCCATGGTTAAAAGGCCCAAAAAAATTGATTTGGAAGTGATGAATAAAGGTACAAATGCTTTACAAACTAATAAGTAAAGGGTGAACTACCACCTAAGGGCTCAAACCAATACTTTTAGGCCACAAAAACAGAGTTTTTCTCAGTTCAAAACCAGCCCCAAAACAGTAAGAAAAGATGGTAAAACAAGCTTGCAAAACAAAGTAAACGAGGCAAGTAAACTACCTCTTGAAGCAAAGGGCAATTCTAGGCACAAAACCAAGGTAAAACAACCTTCAAGAGCTCCAAAAAGACCCCAAGTAACCTCAGCTCAAAGGTAAGAGGATTTGATTTAGGATGGGTATGCAAAAGTGTAGAGAAAACAAGCAATTAGGCACAAAATTGTAAGAAAGAGAGAGAGAGAGAGAGAGAGAGAGAGAGAGAGAGATATATTTTTGCTCTAAATTTTCTAACCTTTAAAAATGGGGAGGAACCCCCCTATATATAGAAAAACAAGTCTTGATCTTAGAAACATCCTACCATACACGTGTAGGAAGATGTAGCTCAATGTGCTAATAATTGGCACAACTAGCAACAAGTAATCTCTGGAAAAAGAGACTGGTGGCCGTCGGCCACCACTGGTTGCCGACCGGCCACACCAATGGCCAACAAGCACAATCTATGGCCGATAGCCTATGGTGGTGGCTGACAGGTCACCAAGAGTTTCCAGACACAAAAACAACAAGATTTGGTCCAAGACCAGGCATAGAAAAGACAAGGTTTAGAGGCTCAAAGACAGGGCATTCCGCGGAGGGCTTCAGGCGCTTAAAACGAATACAAACAAACACAATCATTGAGTGAACAAGTGATGACATCCAAGTCTTGAGGATGGTCAAAAATGGGGTGTCTACAATAATGTTCACTAGTTAGCTAGTAATTCCGATAGTGTCTCACAAGGGAAAGTTCAAAGCCAAAAGCTACCTATCCTTTGCAGAATATCTTCGATTTCTGTACTCTCTGTAATAAGATCATGTTGTTGCATTTTCTCCCCATCAATTCCATTCATGTGGGGGATTGTTGGAAATTATGGTTTTTATAGGCATATTTTGGGCCAACTTTCAGCCCAAATTTGAGTGGGGCCCACACGTCTTTTAGAGTGGGTCCAAAGAGGTGACATGTTCCTTGCCGCATGGCAAGTCACACGGTGCAAAAAGTTCATCAAAACCATTTATGACTGATTGGAAAATTGACATCATTTTTAGTGTTCGTGGAATGGGAAACTGAAGAGTCAAATGTGAGTTTCCTTGAAATGGTTGTCCCACATTGAAAACTTAAGAGAACTTATGTGTGTGTACAAGTTCTAGGCGGCAATACTTGGGTTGGGCCCCAAAGGGCACCCCAAGTTTTGTGAAAGGAGGAGTTAGAAACAAAGTGGGCTTTGTCCAAAACCACCACATGCACGCGAGCTGCAGCTGTCCATCCGTCTGTTCAACTGGTCGGCCGAGCCAAGCGTTGCCAGGCGCGGGTGTGGGTTGTGGATCGGGTCGGTCCTAATATTAATTTTTTGGACAAAATTTATTTGAATTTTTTTTCAAAAATTTTCTGATTGGAATTTTCATTTTTTCAAATTTCAAATATGAAAATTCAAACTCCAACCAGTTTGACTTTTTATACCAGCCAAAATTCTCTTCCTTCTCTCAAACAGATTCAAACTGTTTTTTGCCACACTTGTTCAGTTTGAATTGAACCTGTTCGGTTCATATTTCAGACCTGTTTGGACTGTCCAAACAAGTACCACTTACCTATATATATGCTGCCTTCCAGCAATCCGAAAATTCATTCAATTGTTTTGCAATCCAGAAAATTATATCGTTCTTCCCGTTTTGCTCTCTTACATTGATATTATTCATATTAGTTTTTTTTATAAAATTTTTTGAGAGTGTAGAACATACGTTTTGGTTCGCCGAACAGATTGTTTAGAGTGCTACTATAATCTGTGTAAGATCATTGTATCTTGGAAGATAAATGCCATTTATCTGTAAGCACCGGAGCAGGGCGAATCTGTCTTAAGGACAGAGTGTCACACACTCGACTTAATAATTTTTTGTACTTATTCGTTTTGGTAAATAAATTATGTAAGTAATTTATTTTTATTTATTTGATTTGTTTCACATTATTTGCTCTTACACAATAGATCATTCCTACAATTTCAAGGTCAAAGTCGTGTTTTCAAATTTAAAAAAATTTATTGTAACAATTTTAAAGTATTTTTAAAATACAAACAACTTGTATTAGAAAAATAAATGTAAAGTTGATAATTCTATTTTATAATAACTTGCATTTGGTAAAAAAGTCTTATATGGTTGGCGGTATGACTCGATATGGCTGGGTTAAGGGAAACGTTTCTCTTCAGTTCAAATTAGATTGAAGGGTGTTATTAAGCTTCCGTAAGCTCATTACAGGGCCCGTATCATTAATTCGAATTGTTCAATGTGTAGGACTCGTTTTGTATTTCACTCTATAGAAAATCACGTTGATCAGATATTGATAGCCACTTGATCAAATCACATTTGTGTCAATAGTAAGTATAATTTTTAAAATAAATAGTTGGTACAAATGTGAACTGATCAAGTGACTATCAATATTCAATCAATATGATTTTTATAGGAATGAAGCACTGGACAAGCTCTACATGTTGAATAGTTTGGATTATTGATGTGAACTTCGTGATGGGCCTATGAAAACCCAACATCACCCTCCAATTTGGAACCCAACTGGAGAGAATCCTCCCCTTTAAACAATCAGATTCATCATACGTATTAGTATTTTGACCAATATGCAATGACTGGTTCAATTGTGTCCCTCTCTCATGAATAAGTCTAGGTACCAGACTGATGCATTTAGATATTTTTGAGTGGGTGGTTGTGTGATAGATATTAAATTAATATAATATGGAGTTTATATGTAAAATAAATCTGAATCATAAAATGATAATTTTGAATAATTTGTGAGTAGGTAAGTCTAGATTTGTAGTATTGTTGCTATTTCATTTTACTATATATTTTCTTGTCATTTATATTTTTAAAAGCAAATTAAAAATACACACCTTGAGATTCATTTAAAACGTGAATTGTCCTCTATAGTTCTGAAAATTATAAATACCCCCTAAACATAATTTTTTGTTTCACAGAATTAGCAAAAAAAAAAAATTAAATTCTTAACTATTCTCTCATGCAATAATAAAATTACCAAAATTATAATTGAAATACATTTATGATATCACTACAAGAAATCAGCTTTTTAGAGACAAATTTATTCTATCCTTAAAAATGTAATATTTGTCGAAAAAAACTATAGCCAACTAATTTTTTTCGTTGCAAGGTTTGTCCCAAATGGTGTGTCCGAAAAAGTCAAAAATTGACTTTTAGAGACAAAATTTGCATTTGTCACTATAAACAGACTTTTAGAGACAAAACTATGTGATTGCAAAATGTTTTTGTTTTGAGACAACCAAGATTTGTCTCTAAATGTCTATTACAACTCTATAGTAAAAAATTAGTTTTTGAGACAATAAAAGTTAGTCTCTAAAAGTTTTAATTTTTGAGACAATCAAAAGTGGTCTCTAAAAGTTTTACCTTTCTAAAAGTGGTAGTTATAATTTTTTTGAGAAAACTAAAATTGGTCTGTAAAAGTTTTATTTTGCAACTTTTGTAATAAAATTGTTTCTCTTAGAAAAAATTGTAAAAAAAAATTTTTTTGATCAGCAAAACACGAAGCTATATTGATTGCAACAACATACAACATAAGATTCAAATGATATTTTCTATATTTTTCCTCCTATTTCTCAGCAAGCAAACAAATCTCAAATAACCAAATACCATAACAACTTTCATTCACATCCACTAATTTATTATCAACAATTATTCTAATATATCATCACAAACATCCAAAAGAAAGCAATTTGCATTGACATTGATATTTCCAACAAAAAATCAAATAATCAAAAGCATAACAATTATATATATATATATATTCCCTTTTTGATTTTGTAACATTTCTCATATATAACTTTTGCAATAACATTGTTTCTCTTAAAAAAAATTGTAAATCTTTTTTTTTTTTTTTTTATCAGCAAAACAAGAAGCTATATTGATTTCAACAACATATAACATAAAGATTCAAATGATATTTTCTATATTTTTCCTCCTAGTTCTCAACAAGCAAACAAATCTCAAAGAACCAAATACCATAACAACTGTCATTCACATCCACTGATTTATTATCAGCAATTATTCTAATATATCATCACAAACATCCAAAAGAAAGCAATTTGACATTGACATTGATATTTCCAGCAAAAAATCAAATAATCAAAAGCATAACAATAATATCAGAATCAGCAATTTAAAGACAAGTCATTTCTTTCATCCTTCTATTTTCTGTGTCTGGGATAATGTTGAAGTATATCAAACTATGTCCGAAACCAACCTAATCTCGGTCTACCCAACTCTTCCTTGTTTCCACATCTGATTCATGGTTTTCAGTGTGGCTCTTGAAGCCCAGATCCAAATTTAAATGGCTTGTGTTTGAATGTTGAATCATTTCTTGTTTGCTGCCTACAACACAAACCAGTTAAGCATATCAAGAACTAGTAATCATGAATAATCCAACATATGGAAATCTTTAATTCAATAGCCAAATCCTTTCAAACTTTCTTGTTTTGCTGGATAGTATGTGACAAACGAAAAAGGAACCAAAAAGAGGGAAAAAATTTTATTTGAACCAAACATCAAACATGGTAATTTAACTAAGCATCTTCCAACATAAGGAGTCGAGCGGGGAAAACATATAATTATTATAAAGAATAAAAAAAATCAGTCATTCCTCTCAATCTAGGCTCAAATTTCATCAACAATGACAACCAAAGCTGAAATTTGTGATTTCAATCAATAATAAGCATACTTGCAACCAACATATACTTTGGGGGCGATTCACTTGAAAAAGAAATATGTGCATTAAATCTTCATTGGTTTTATATATTTCTTATACCAATATGGCATTTTGAAGTTGTCCCAAAACACCTCACATGTATATCTACATACTAAATTGCTAAGGAAACTATTGTCTAAAACTCGGGATACATTCTACTTTCTATTGAAATTGGAGTGTAAGAATTCTGCTTTCATTTTATTTTTGGTAAATAGGAATGTAAGAATTCTGATTAAGATGTATATTTCAAATGTATGCACAAAACTCAACTTGGCTGATTTTTGATAAACAAATGTCTAAAGAAAAGCATGAATTGCGAATATCTATATCTAAATCGTGTCATAACCAAAAAATTAAGGCTACATAAGTATATTCTGACCTCGGGTGCCATCCAGTAAGGGCTTCCATTAAATGATAATGGACATGATTGTCCAGCGATCTACAAATTTAAAGGATGCCATTATATTTTCTAGGAGGATAGATTTTAACAAGCGATCTCATGATTTAATGCTAGGCATTGGTTGACACTTGCTATGAAATATCTAGCAACCATAGATACTTAATTTAATTCAAAGTATATGACAGGCTATAATAGTAAATGGCAAAGCATACTATGTCCATTTTTTTTATAAAAAAAAATCTCTGATTGTGTAAACTCAATGAATGATAATATTCACACACAAACATGCAATTTAGAACTCAACTCAAACATGACTAATACTCAATTGGTTTGATTACATTTCATGAGTATATACCTATTGCTGCATAGACTTACATGCTTTGTCATTCCAAAATCAGCCAATTTGATATGGCCATTTAGGTCCACAAGGATATTTGCTCCTTCAATATCCCTACACACAAGATATAGCATAAATTATAAGTTTAGAGATAGTGTTAGATCAAAAGACCTCTAGAAATGACAAATGAAAAATATACTTCTCTATAAGATGCAATATCAAATGTGTAGTACAACTTATCAATTAAACAATTTCCATAAATGCCCAAAATTACGGTCCACGGGAAACTATATCAATTTTTTTTTTTCGTAATTAGCATCACTTAATGAGTCTTCTATTTCAGAACATCAAAATAACTTCTGGAAATAATGACAACAACAAAATACATGTTACAACAAAAACAAAAGCATTGCCCATTTTTTAAATCAACAAAAGTAAATGGAAGGCATAAAACTTACTCATTCATACCAATATACTGCACAATATTAGGATACCTTAACCGGCTCAATAAAGCAATTTCCTATCAGAAACACTCAATATAAGAACTTCCATCCAATAGTTAATAGAAATTAGACCAAAACGAGCAAAAAGAGAACTAATTTCTGATGAAAAACAAGAAGCCTTCTCATGTAGAGAACCTCAATTACATTTATGACTACCAAACTTACTTGTCCCAGCTGCTTTGCACTTTCCTTTGACTTTGCATCATCCAAGAATAATGTAACCTCCTTCATTGCACACATTTCACCACTTTCCCTATAATGGTGAGGATAAGGCAAGATATAAAAAAACTCGATCAGTGAACAAAATTTGAGAGAATGCATTAGAAAAACTATACATGCAACTGTAATCAAATGGATTTGATGGCAGGAAGCACACCACATTATGACAAGGTAATACAATCTCTTCCATCATCAATCTCTAACTGATCTACATCATCGCCAATTTCGCCATCTCTTCCTTGAGGCACGATCACTTTGGCTCATTACACAATTCACATTAATCAAGTTGATTGAGATGCCACCAAAAACATCTAATATTGAAGATGAATCATCAATGCTTAGCAACTTTATCCCAAATTGTCACAAGGAGTAGTAGTCATACATGTATAAATTTTATTTATTTATTATTTATTTTGTGTCAAATAGCCATGCAGCTCAAAAATTACAAAAATTGCAGAGAGATAAAAAGATTGAAATTCTTAGGATCTGTTTGAATGGATGTGGATTTAAAATGTGTGTATTTAACATTGTGTACCACAGACCTAGATCAAAAGTGGATCTAACTGCTCAAAAATTGAAAGGCTCTTAGTAGACTATTTAACTGCATAAAATTTAAAGGTTCTAATATTGTTAACCTAGCATTTTGGTCAGGCCTCAAAATTGAGGTGCAAAAACCAGCATTTTGGGACCTGCTACAAATATTGTTAACCCAATTTGTAATGAGAAGCCAAGTAAAAATGAAACCAACAAAAAGAAACTAGGCCAAGAGGAAGAGTAGGCCATTCCATTTTTCTCTCTTTCTCAATGCTTCAGCTACTAATGAAGGCACTCTGATCTTATACAAGTGCATGCTTCAATACAATCGCAAATAGGGATATGATATGATAGGATAGAAATCTAATTATTTATGGCTCAAGAGTTAAAAATTAGCCGATTTGTCTTTTGACTCATTGAGGTAGTAGGTAGGTATTTGATTCAATACAACTTAGGCATTGGATTCACTTGTTGGTTGATTTGGTGGCTACTTATTATGCCCTCTGTTGCTCTCTTTTTAGTCGCTCTATTTAGACTTGATGCATACCAAGTGTTCCATTTTTTTTTTTTGTTAAATTACAAATACACTCCCTAATAGAGGTCACCTGACCCAAAACCTATTAATTACGATAATATAAAATCTTATATCATTGTAATAGACAGCAATCTCATAATTCCAATCACAATTATGGCCATCTCATAAAATTTAAGCTAAACTAGTCATAATATATCAAATTCGGACTATCAAATCATTACATATAACAAACTTAACATTTCAACTTCTCATTCTGCAATATTTTTTTCTTTTTGGAAATGAACTCGACATTACAAATTGTACGGGGGCAAAATATCCTCTGCTTTCCGTACTCCTTGGACGTCAAGCTTCTCGTGATGGCGTCTATCTCTGCAACACAGAAATGGTGAGCTGCCCGGTGGTGGTGTGCTGGATAGACCCTCCGACGATCAAGTCAGACCACTGGAGGAAGAAGAAGGCCATCGGAGAGAGAGAGAGTGTTGGCGATAGAGTGAATTTTGCATACCTCTAACGTTCCTCTTTCCTTCTATTTCTAGGCTGGCCATGTAGCCTCAAGATTGTGCACGCACTACCTCTGCTGTCCTTCCCTGGATAGGTGACAGTGCTCGCCTCTCACCACCTTACGCGTGTAAAGGCTTAGTCCTTCCACCAGTACAAGCAGAACTATCCAACGGTATTGATACGCGCATGGAGCAGATGTCCTCTCCCTCACGCAATTGGCCCAGGTGGCACACCTAACTGGAGTACCACGACCGGCCTATCCCTTGTGGAGAACTGTCACCACATGCACGCGACCGAGCTATGTGTCGCCGGCCTGCCCCTTTGGCAAAGGGGCCAAGGGGTGATGCTCATGACCAGGTTGATATTGACTGGGTTATTGTGGCTTACCAGTTCCGAGGCATGCCGGCCTCCATCCGTTCTACCTTCATCTGAGGTTATCTTGAATCTGTCCATCTCGGCTAACTGTTCAAAGGCATGCTGGCCTTCGCCTCATCCTCGGTTTAGCCCAAGCTATTCGTAGCCCGGTCTCGCCACTCGACTGCGTGCCTTGCCAAATGTCTACAAGTCATAGCTCGGCCGGGCGTAGTTCACGCATGGTCTGCCGATCTCCTTGACCGAGCAAAACAGATCCACCGGCCGTCTCAGTAGAGGAAATAGCGCGACGCCGTGAAGTTTGTCACGACCGGCACTATCGTAGCTCGGCCGTACTAACGGTGCAAATCTCCCCTCTCAATTGCCCCTTAATCCCATCCGAGCTAATCGTGATTGGGGTTACCCCAGTGACCGAGCTAACGGTCCGTGATTTGCACTATTTCTGAGCTGAGCATGACGGCATCTCTTCCAAGCCGAGCATGATTGCATCATTTCCAAACCGAGCAAGCCGGGCATGATTGAATCATTTCCGAACCGAGCAAGATTGGGGTCAAACGGCGTCGCCGAGCAACCCCATTTGGTCGGTAATTACTTCAGTAGTCTTATCGAGGGCCATACAATCGTACTGACAGCCGTCCTTTCGATGCCACGTGGCTTTATCCCGTTGGCCCCGTGCGGCCCCAAAGCTATCTTTTCATGCGCGAAATTCAAACGGCGCAGCCGTTTGGTTTTCCCCAACCCCCTCTTTTATGCACAAACGAAGGGTCACTTCAACCCTTACTGCTCATCGCTCTCAAGCCCAAAAACACTTGCTGTCAAAACCCTCGCACCTCTACCATTACTGTCATTGCTGCCTTTTCGATTTCTCTACACCCATTTTCGTTCCTTCTGAGGCTATAATCGAGCTCTTGGTCGATTGATCTCTTTGGCGTCTGTCGCTGGTAAGTCTCTTCACCAGTCCACCCTATTTTCTGTCCATGTTCTTCACGTTTTCCATCTTGTGTTCTTCGTGTTTTTGATTGGAAATGCTAGGCACCTACCAATACCTCCTCCATGGGGTAGTATTGGCACACCTTAGGGCAAACTGGAACTGGAGGGGTGAATGGGGCCTTCGTGCCCCTGTTTCTCCGTAGTTTGAATGGATGGGCTTTGAACTTAGGATGAACCGAATGAACACTGGACAGAATCGAGCTAAATGCTCATTTAGATCCGTAAATCAGATTTAACCGAGCTAAAATTTGTTCGAGGTCTCTACTTGGGGCCTTGACCAAGCTGAACACCCAATTAGATCCGTAAATCAGATTTAACCGAGCTAAAATTTGTTCGAGGTCTCTACTTGGGGCCTTGACTGAGCTGAACACCCAATTAGATCCGTAAATAAGACTGAACCGAGCTATAACTTGTTCGAGTTTTCTTCTTGGGCCTTTACTGAGCCGAAAATAGAGAATCAGAACCGAACTAGAAAGGCCAAATCGGCCAAGTTGTCTAGCTGAGTTAGGATCGAACCGGTCGAACACCCCAAAACCCTTCGTCGAGCTAAAAAATCCTCATTGAAGCCGTGCAATTTATGTCGTGCTAACCCTTGGACTTGTTTCTTAACCATGCAGAACAAACTAGGACCGACCAGGCCCGTCCAGAACCATCACTGGTGGAGCTCAAAGTCCGAGCAAATACACCAAAATTTTTCACCGAGATACAAATTAAATCACCGAATAAAACCGAGATAGATGGGGAAGTACCGATTCATGGTGAGCTCACCCGGTGCGCTTGCCGAGTTTCATAGGGAGTACAATATTCCAGATGATGTCATTTTAGAGCTGGCCAAGAAGGGAGATACCCCTTGGGGCGACCTAGACCGGTGCCCCTTCACGGTCGTGTCCATAATCAAAGGAGGACTTCGCTTCCCAGTCCAACCCTTGATCTGCGAATTCTTGAGGCAGACAAGGCTTTGCCCAACCCAAGTGTCGAACAACACATACAAGATAATAAACGGCGTGGCCGAGCTAAACAGGAGGCTCGGTCTCAATCTCGGTCTTGCTGAAATATTCCACCAGTACACCCTTAGTAAAAATAAAGGTGGGCTTTGCTGGTATCTAAAAGTAAAGAAGGGCCGAGCAAAACTCATCGAGGGCAACCCGGACAAGGAGACCAATGATGACGACTTCTTGTGGGTGTCCGGTAATTATGAGGACACCAAGGCGCCCATACCGGGCTGGTATATTAGGAAAGATTTTGGAAGTGCTAGTGAGTAGCTCGGCTAACCGCACTATTTTCCTTCTGCATGAGTTTCTCTATGTGCCGGTCTAACATTTCTATTTGCAGATTACAAGCACTTGGCGGAAGACTACCACCGGGCTAACCAAGAGGCCATAAGAGTCTTACTGCGCCATCCAGAAGAAGAAAGAGAGTCAGCAAAGCTGCTCGGCTTTGAACCGACCTACACTTACAAAGCGCCGCGCAAAAGCCGGGTTACCGACTTCCTCCGTGCTCCTTCCCCAGAACCTGACCCAAATCTTCCGCCGATCAGACTTGTTCACCTCACTGCCGAGCAAGAAATGGCGAAGATCCGGCCAATCAAGTCCCTGATCACCGGTGAGGAAAGCGAGTCCTAACCGCCAGAAGCAACCGGGGGAACATCTTCCACTGCAGCCGGGCAAAAGGAAGGGGCTGTGCTGGCTCTTGCCAGCGAACAACCAGCTGGCCGGTCGAAGAAGCGACCAAGGAAAGAATAGAGAGAGCAGCATCTCGTTGACGAGGACTCCACTGAGCATGCCTCCGCCGAGCTAGGGGACCAGACCGAGCAACAACCAACCGAGCCTTCCAAGAGCCAATCCTCCCCCCCAGTCTGGGTGCCCGAGATCAAGTACAAGGGCCGGGCTGTCTATAAGGCCGATTAGTGTACGCGGACAAGGATTACTCCCTCGGTTTCAACATGACCAAGGGGCTGATCCTTCCCACTGACATGAAGAAGCACGACGAGCTGTCCAACCTGAAGGTGCTTTGCTCGGCAGCAAAATCGATCGTTTTGGTAAGTTCCACTCTTTTTGCTGCAAGTTGTTGACCGGTTTTTGCTCGGTTTTCTGAACGTTTACAATCTTGCATTTGTTTTCAGGCCGCGCAAAAGAACTATTTAGCGCACGATCGAATGATTGCAGTGCGGCAGAGCCTGGGGGATGCCATAGCTGAGAACAAGTCCCAAAAGCCCGAGATAGCGAAGCTTAAGGCCGCGCAGGAAGTAGTTGAGGCCGAACGAGATAACCTGAGCCAAAAGGTTGACTGAGCTGAAGTGGACAAACAGCGGGCCGTGAAGTCGACCAAAGCCCGGTATCTCGCCGAGCTAAGGAAGCTGCGCGATGCGCAAAAAGAGGAGAAAAACAAGGCGATTAGCGACGCCGAAGACAGGGGCTATGCTCAAGGCGAAAAAACGTATGAACGGCAGGTGCAGGCAACCAAAGACATCTTTTCTAGTGCGGTTGGAAAGCTTCCGTGGAGAAAGTCGGCCTTGGTCAGGATGCTGACATGTTCCTTCATTCGCCTGCGGCCTTCATACCGCACTATATGCAGGCCTATGCGAGCGCCGCGCAGAAGAGGCTCATAGAGGAGGCCAAAAAGGAAGCCGCGGAAGAAGCCTCCGCCGCGCAACGAACCGAGCAAACTTCTCCTGAAGCATCTCAGGATGCCGAAGATCAAGTAGCCGATCAGGAGGTTGTCGCAGTGGAGGACGCGGATGATGAGTTAGAAGAAGGCTTGCCCGAGCATAGTGCGGAGGTGACCGAGCAGACTCTGGAGGTCGCCGAGCAGATGGTTGACCTAGAATTGGACTGAAATGCCCCCTCCTATTTCCTACTTCATTTTCGTCTCTTTTCTTTCTTTGTTTAATGTAACCGGGCTAGGGCCCCACAGTTGTAATGCAATTTCTTCAACCAATGAAATTGGAACTTTTTGCCCGCTGATCTTCACTTTTTGTTCGGTTGCAACATGCAAAATGTCCTGATTCAAACTTTAATGTACCACAACTGATAGGTCGGCAATGCCGCGCAATATGCCAAGCTAAAATCAGAATTTCTTTAACTGAAATGCCCACGAATCAACTAGCAGCTCGGTTCTTTGATTT